CCCTTCACTTCTGGCTCTGGAGCATCCAGACAAGATGAGGCTGGTGAAACACGAACCAAAATATCCATATGTTCAAGTTTCATTCAGGAATATTTTGCTGTCCTAGTTCACTTCTTTGTGAAATAGGTAAACTTGGTTCTGGTTCAATATAGCTCAATGTCATGAATTATTCCTGCTTTCACATCACAATTTCAGGCAAGGGAGTTGGCATGTGGTAGAAGCTTAGTAAATGTTTGTTTAATTGAATGATACACTCAATGATACACTCAGTCTTTCTTTGAAAAGATCACGTCCCACTGCAGGACTAACACAGGCCTTACTCAGGACTTGTCACTTTTGGCTTGTCAGTTTCATCATTGTCATCCTTTTCTGATTTGTTGAGCACTGTGTGCCAGGCATTGCACTAAGCACATTATGTAATTCATCGCAATTATTTGTCACATGAGCTTTAAGAGATAGGTGGTGTTACCCAGTTACCTCCAGTTTGAAGATGAGGAAAACTGAGGTTGAAACAGGTGAATTAACTTGCCCCAAATCAGTATAAGGTTAGGAACTATGCAGGCTTTGAGATCATCCTCGTTTCCTGAAACAAAAAGTGCACAGGAAGTAAATATGTTGTATCAATTAGCTTATGCTGTGTAACAAATCACCCTAAAATTTAAAAGCTTAAAAACAAGCATTCATTACTTCTCATGAATCAGTAGATTGCCTGGGAAGTTCTTTTCTGGGCCAGTTGGCTTGGGCTAGATAGCCTGGAATAGCCTCACTCACATGTCAAGTTGTGATACTGTCATCTAAGGTATGGGCCACATGTCTCCAGCAGGCTACCTGAGCTTAGTCACATGGCAGCAGTTGCAGAGTTCCAGGAGCAAGAGAGGGAAGATCCAATTACACAAGCACTTTTTAACTCTCAGCTTCTATAATTTTTGCTAATATACATTCAGCCAAAAACAAGTTTCATTGACGAAACCCAAATTCCAGGATGGATAGTCTTGATCTATCGATTGGAAGAACTGCAAAACACTGTGGCTTCCCCCCAACCCAATATATTTGAGTTAGTTATCTTTCATTGTGTAACTTAATGGCTTAAAACAACAATGAACATTTCTCTCACAATTTCTGGCATAGCTGGGTGGTTCTGGTTCGGCTCTCTCATGAGACTGAAGTCTTCTGAAAGTTTGACTGGGGCTGGAGGATCCACTTCCAGGATTGTGAACTCACATGGCTGGCAAGTGGTGCAGGCTGTTGGCAAGAGGCCTCAATTCCTTAGTGGACCTCTCCATAGAACTGCTTGAATGTCTTTATGATATGGTAGCTGGCGTTCACCAGAGCAAGGGGCATAAGAGAGAGCAAGGTAGAAACCACAATGTCTTTTATGACCTAGCCTTAGAAGTCATACTGTCAATCCTACAATATCCCATGGTCCCACAGGTCAGCCATGACAGGTGTGCATACCAGGAGGTAGAACTCATTGGAGGCCACCTTAGGGTGGCTACCACACCACCATACATGTTAAGTGACTACTAAGTCTTTATTCTTCTATTTATTTGGTAATTTGACTGAGGATTGAATTCTCTCCGAATTTTGAAGGTATTTCTCTGTTTTCTTCTAGCTTTGAGAAGTACAGTATCATTCTGATTCCTGTTTCTTTGAGTTTCCCCCCCCAGTCCCTTTCTAGAAGCTATTAAGATCTTCTCCTGGTCCCTAGTATTCTGAAATGTGATGATGTGGCTCTTCTGTCATTTTATGCTGGATACATAATGCACCCTTTCAGTTTAGAAACTTTAGTACAGAACATGGGAATGCAGGTTAAGACATCTGCACGCATGTGCACAAGGCCCTTGCAGGGGAACATATTTAGGGATATGAAGAGAAGGGGGGTGGGGCAAGAGTCCTGCTCTCCCCCACTCACCACCCTCTAGTGCAGAGTTCCAAGAGACCCAAAAATTTGAATGTAGCCTTCCAGGTCATTGTGAAGGTTTATTTGTCAAGGTAGCAGAATGGGCTGTATTTTACTTAACATTTTATTAGCTTCCATTTATAACTTTTTAAGTATGCCTCCTTTTGTACTCTTGACCCAGTCCCACAATTAGGAATGGCTTGCAGGGCAAGTTCTTAGCTTCTCTAAGCCTCGGATTTGTTGTATATAAATGGGAATACTAGTACCTACTTTGTAGGGTTTTGTTATGGGGGTAATATGAGGTAATGCATGAAAAATGTTTGGGTCCATGGGAAAAGGTTAAATAGTTGTCTATTGCTATTGCTGAGAGCAAGACTTTCAGCTCAGCGCCCACGTCTGGTTGGATGGAAAACTGCAGTTGTTTAGAGGGCTGAATTTGGAAGAAACTGTAGCTGATTTGGGAATCAGCTGTTAGCCTGTTACTCAGCCCCTTCGCTTGCACTTCTATATTTGTCTGAGGACGAATGGGAATGGGAACGTCACTGACTCCTGGGACTACTCTGGGGCAGGTAGGAATAGCTTTGATTTTTCTTTCTCCGACTCCCAGGGCCCATCTGCAAACATTTCCTTAGCTCAAGAACAGAATCTGTTTCAATGAGGCTGAAACACTTTTATTTTTATTTTATTTTAAAATTATTATTTTTTAAATTCATTTCAGAGAGAGGAAGGGAGAGGGAGAGATAGAAACATCAATGATGAGAGTTACTGATCGGCTGCCTACCGCACACACCCCAAAGGGGATTAAATCCGCAACCTGGGCACGTGCCTTGATCAGGAATCAAACCAGACCCTTAGGTGCACAGGACAATGCACTCCAACTGAGCCACACCGGCCAGGGCTCCTCGTAAGTTTTTGAGAAGGACTGAGACAGTAGGCATCACAGAAAGAGAAGTCTGGGAACCTGTGAAGACAAACTGCCTATGTCACCATTTAGCCAATAACCAGGGACTCACGTGGATGTGGAACGCTAATGGAAAAACCCTGTAAAGGGGGCATCTGTCAAGGTGATTAGCCAGGTAGAGGATTCTCCTGGGCATCAGTTACGTGCAGCAGAGGGAAAAAATCATTCTTAGAAATGATTAGGGCCTTGCCTGGGCATCTTTTACACTGGAGTCAGCTTTGCTGCGGAAGCCTAACACTGGGTATGTGTATTTATGAGATAAATGTAAGAATGTGTGCTTGGGAGTCAGGCCAACACACAGCACCACTGCTGATTTGCGACCTTGGGAAAGTTCTTAGTTTCCCTGTGCTTCAGTTTTCTCATTCTTAAAATGGGGCCCTGACCGCCTACCTTGTAGGATCATTGTGATAATGGAGGCCATGTATATGAGACAGAGTGCTGCCTGACACACAGTAGGTGCATAACCAGCGAGGCCAGTTACTCTTACCTGACTGTGATCGCCAGACTTGATTGTGTTACTCTATAGTCCAGGGTCTAGTACAGGTCCTGGCTCAGCAAATGTTGAATTAATAAGGGACAAATAACTTACAAACTCTGGGTAAAGTCACTCATCAGATACCATGATCTATAATTAACTTCAATGCATAGTAATTTCTACTAGCGAGAATGAGGTCCAATAAAGAATTGGGAAAAATAATACATATATAAAAAGTGCCCTCTTTAGGAGAGAAGGGGTAGTAAAACTGTGTTGTGAGATGTAGGTTTAAGGTAAGATCCAACCCACTGGATGTATGCAGGGGCTGAACCCAAGCCCTTAGCTCCATTAGCAACTGCTGAAACTCTAGCAGCTCAGCGAACACAGCAGGTTCTCCTTAATTCCTTGTTGACATGACTTGTCTGTGCATTAGTGTTCATTATGCTCTCATTAGGAAGCCAATATAAGACTGAGGAGACCTACCTGTATCTTTCACACCCCCAAGAAGTGACTGAAAGGTGGAGTGACATTCTTTGCAGTTGGAGAATCTGAGTTGGAAATCCTTTCCTTTGCTACTTCCTAGCTATGAGGCTTTGGCTGCATTATTTCTCTGCCTGAGACTCAGTTTCTAACTGTTAATGGGATTAATAGCTCAGTCCCAGGGTTCCAAGCATAACAAAGGACAGTGCCTGCTCCCCACTAGGCACTCATTTTTATCTGAGTTTCTCCCTTTGCTTACAGGGCTCTTTCCCCTTTCCCAGACCTGCTACGCTACAGACAAAAATCCAACATCCTTTATGGCTCAGCCCAAGGATTAAGATCTTTGCCTCACAGCCCAGGAACCAGACATTTTGTGACCGACTTCCATTCTCTGACACAAGAAGGGAGAAAGACAACAGTATATGGGATTTTTTGTTTGTTTTTTTATTTAGACATGGAATTTTTCTTCCTTTTCATATAACTTATCTAATTAAAATATTCATCTTGGTAGTTACCACAAAAAAGTAACATAGAAAATTGTATTTACATTTTGGGACCAAAATACAAATGAAGAGCAGGATGACACCTTGCTCCTTTCCCTCCCGCTTCCCGGAAAGAAAAAGCCCTAAAGAAACTGCTCATTATACCAACGATCACAAAGGGTTAATTTGTAATTTGCTGATTTGTATGTAGTGTAGCACAGGAAAAAAAAATTGCACAAGTTTTCACAAGTGAGACCAAATGTTTGACATCATCCTTTGTCTGCTCTGCAGCCATTCAGTCACCCAGGTAAGAAATCCAGTTTCTCCTCCCTCCTTACTCCTCACCAAGTCACATCCCTCACGCAGACATGCTTAGAAGGGCAGGGGAAGGGTCTGGCTCTATGCAAACAGGGGTGATCAAAATCTTTATGGTAGTGATGTTGGGATGAACATGTGTTTCTCCCTCCCTGCCTAAAGATTCCTAATAAAGGAAATTAAATCATACACAACTGAATCTGAAATGTGAAAAACTGGTTGCAGTGACAAAGACTTGAACACACAGCTAAGCAATAGATTCAAGATGGTGGAAGCCATTCTAGGCACCTGACCCAGATGTTCATTTGGTTTTAGGTAAGAGGCTTCCTAATATTAGACTTGGGGATAGGGGTGGAATGGTAATACAGTCAATCAAGAGAAATAAAATCAATCAAGAGAAATAATACTTTACCCAATTAAAAAATACAGCAAATTAAAACAGAGCAATACTTAAGTCCTGTCGCAACAGGCACCCAGCACAGCAATGCACAATGAATAGTTTGCTGCTCTGGATCTTCAGAGTTAGTCTAACCGAGGTCTCCAGGATGGTTAAAAACAGTCGCCTCCACATTGAGCTTTCTTTTGAGAATTTTTATAGTTTATTTGACCCAAATTGAGGACATATGCCAGGGAGCAAGATCTCAAATGCTCCCTCCATATTCTGAGCTTGGAGTGGGCTTGTTGAGGGCACTGCCTGCCAAGCTCCTCGGGCTGTCACACTAATCAAGACCTATCTATTGATTGGGTTTCATAAGGATGAGCACCTCGACTTATAGCATCTACTTCCACTGGGGTCACAGCCATCTGGGTTCTTACTAGCTCAATGCTCTTCAACAGCCAAGAAGGGCACTGGCACTATCCTCCTAGTTCTGACCTTGCTCCTAAGTCAACTCACAAGTGAGACCCTCCCTTCCCAAATCAGATGGACTCCCTTGTGGTTCTCCCCATCCTGACGCGACGGCTCAGACACTTTTGCAAAGTTGGCCCTTCCCTCCAAATTCTGGCTTAAACACTTGAAAAGTAGGGAGAGCTTCAGCTGCAAAGTTCTCTACAAAACATAGTAAACTGTTGTGCTCTTCCAATTACATGATCTTACCTTTTAAAGAAAGCAAAAACAAAACCAATTTCCAACATAGCATTACAACTTTTAAAACCATTCACTTCTAGTAGTAATTCACAAGGATCGAGATTAAAGTGCTGGCTTTTAAAACTCTAAAGTTGCATTTTGGGGGTGGGGGACTCTACCAAAAGCCCTGCCATGTATTTGTGTTTTTGCCCCATGCTAGTGGGAGAAGGAAGAACAGGGGAGGGGGAAAAAACCCTAAAGTTTTGAATCAGACACTGGAAATTGTAAAAATGCTGGGGTTCTGTGCAAATTGATCTCCCAAGGTACTATGTCCTCTAGTGAGCCTCAAAAAGAAAAAAAAAGTGGGAACTGGCAAAAAGGATGAGGGGAAAGACTAGACCTTTACAAATACCTCCCTTAATAAATACTATTTAATGAATAAGAGAGGAACTCAAAGCAACACCACGCAGGGTCTCAGGGGTGAGGGTCTATCCCGGATGCTCCCCGCCTGCATGCCGAGGCCCCCTTAGGATGGGCAGCCCAGGACTCACTCCTCGCCCTACGTGGAGCAGGCCCCACACAGGCTCTGCGGATGCCCTGTCCTCCCTCTGCACCAGAGTCCACTTGGGAGAGCTGAACTGGGACGGGAATGGCTTTCACTGGGCTCTTGTTTAACTTTAACAAAGAGCCCTGAAAAGAAAAGGCTGAGCGTGTGGCAGAGGACAGAAAACAAACCCAAAAATCCTGGGGGTAATATAAATACAATCTGGGGCGATATTTATTAATTAAAACTATCTTATAGTTTACAAAGAAGCTAAATAACAACAAAAGTATAATTGACCTTAAAACGCTCAGTGAGACTGAGGCTTCACATCTTCAGAGTTCTGAAGTACCCTCCAGGCAGGGAGGCGGTGGCTGCGGCACATGGGTTCACAGACTTGACACCTGCGGACTGTGCAGGGTTCCGAGACCAAAGCGTCCACGGAGCAGAAGATCTCGGCTGCCTTTGGAAGTTCCATTCCCCAGCCCCCACTGTCCTTGTCCTCCTCACCCCAAATTCCATCTCCAGGCAAGTCCTCAGTTTATCGTCGGGAGAATCTGTTCTTGAAAGCTTTAATTGTCTTAGCCATCATAGGGGCAATTTCTGTGAAAAGAGAAATAAGGCTGTTGTTTCAGATCCGCAGCAGTTCAGACATACAAAACAGTGCTTTACAACCAAAGCCGAAGTCTCGCCAGTCTTGGTTCTGCACCACCAGAAAAATGGATGCAAGTGGAAGCTGTCTGCTAACACCACAACATAAGCAGAATAGAGCTAACCCTTGCTGTGCACCTGCCAGTCCCAGAACAATCACTATTTCTAATTCCAACAACCTCACCAAGACTCAGAGAAACTAGCCAACCTGCCCCTGGTTGTACAGCAAGTGGCAGAACTAGAATTCAATCCAGACTCTAAAGGCCATGCTGAGCCATAATTTAACTGCCTCACCAACATCCAAACCAGCAAAAAAATCATTCCCTTCCCACCCCGTCTGCCAAGGTAGCAACAGGTCTAACATGAGCTAAATGCAGATACCACCTAAGGACTGGTTTACCTGAGCTCAGCCACAGCTTAAGCCAGGATTCCTACCCTCTCACAGCCCTAAAGTGAAGACAGAATAATGCTTTTAAGTTAGGTCACCTCCTTAGAATATTGGGCATCGCCAATGGTAATCAAGTTAATAAAATACAAAACAGACCCAACTAGATATAAAAAATACTTGGAAACTGGGGTTTTAAGGTATAAAACCTCAATAAGGTGAACTATCATGTAGCTGTCAATGATGGTTATGAACCCTGTAATTGCCTGGAGGTTTCCATTTAGGTTAAAAAAAAAAAAAAAAGGGCAGAGTGCCAAAGTGAATATTCCTGTGATCATTATTTAAAGATACACAAGCATTATGAACAAAGCAGGGGAAGGAGGCACTGACATTTAGATCAGCTACTTGCAAGGCATCATACGTGTGCTACATCCAACAAAATGATGCAGGAGTAATGACAGCAAAGGGGTTCAAATACTAGTTTTGAAATATCTGAGCGGAAACCCCAAGTCACTCACTCTTCACAGTCGGTTTCCTAGGATCATAGGAAACAGTGCTGCTGACCACAGGCGCCAAGTGCGCACTGCTGGTGCTCGGGCCGTCATAGACTGGCTCCTCTGGGCTGGTGTTGAAGCTGTGGTTGCTGCCACTGCTGGAGGGAGCATGGCTGCTTCCTATGGGGTAAGGGGCTGGCTTAATCCTGCAACACAGAACAAAGCTGGTTAGTAATGAGCACGAAAAATCCACCCACAGCACCAACAATCTGAAGCTGGCCTTTCTGAGAAGACTCAACTTCCTAGCCTTGACCAGTGAACTCTAGCACCCAAGCTTCTGGAAATGGCTGAGATGACAGTGTCAGTCCTTCAGAATGAATGATAATCTCAACTAACTTTTCACTGTTTAGGTGTAGATCTGCGTTGTGAAAATGCTAATGTGACTTAGATTAAGTCATTTAGTCATACAGTAAACCCCATTTTTGTTGAAATGGGGAAAGGGAAAGCATAAGTGATGTTTCCCAGAACCCAGGCCCTTTTCTCCACATAATCTTGACCTTTCTGAGAGGCAGGAATAATTATCCAGCCTGCACAGCAGCTGAGGAAGCTGGGGCTCCAGAGCCCACTCTGCACTGCTGTGCTTTCATACCCAAAATGAACTGCATCTTGCACCTGGGCTACCTTCTTGGGTGAGTGACAAGCTCTTGACCTCTCTTCCCTAAGCTTGGAGAGGAGCAGAGACAGTACCTGATTTTCTCGGGCATAACTACTCCCCCTGTTCCAAACTTCTCCTGTCTCCTTCGAACATCACGAGGTGGCTTGGCCACAGAGTGGACAAAGGCCATCTTTGCTTGTCGGCCTGTAGAGAAATGAGGAGATTAATACCTACCTTCTTGAACAGAGATGCTCTTGTTATTTCACTAATCTACCCTATTACCAGAGAAAGGCTTTTTGAGTGCCCCCAAAACCGAGAGTTCAACCCATCCTGAAAACTACTCTGTACAGTAGCATGAGCAGTGGTAGAAAAAAAAACCCATCTCTGCCCCACTTTTGCAAATGCAACAGATTTAGGGGCCACAGGCCCTACATCAGTGGGGCCCACCAAGACCCTGCTGTGGACCAGAGCACAGGGCTTACTATTTTGCCAGGCCCCATCCTGCCAGTCTCTCATACCCCCTTACCTTTGGGCTTATTGGCATGTGCAGATTGGATATTCTTTGTCAGCAACCGTAGCCGCTGCTCTCGGGCATCCTGAAGCCGCAAGTACATCTCCCGCCACGACTCATACTCTTCTGGCCTTTCATCCTTAAAGTCTCGGTGACAATGAATTTTCCATAATTGATCTGTTTCTTCAATTAATACCTAAAACCACAACGAGGACATCATTTATATGCAAGCACTCTTACATATCTTCTCCACCCTTAATCACCTAGGGTTTCCTAATGATTTTTTGGTCTGCAGAGAACTGTATTAAAATACCATGGTTCTAGAAAAAGTTAAATGTGAGGCACTGTACTAGCTGCTTCTGGGGGTTGTGGGGCTAGGAGACAAGATAACACAAAATTAGTTTAAGGTCAGTCTTTTCCTTTAGAAAAATCAGTGAAGGGTAGAACCAGAATAAAGTCAAATCCAGGCATTTCCCAAGCACTGCACTGAACTGTAATGGCAAGGGGGCCACCTAAGAAAGATGTGTCAGGATGCCCTCGGAATTAGAGAAATGACTAATGTAATCAGATGAGTATGTCCCAGCATTACGAGAATTTCTGGATAGATCTCAATGTTTCTAGGACACACCAAGCCACTTGTGCTCTTTTAAATGTCAACACAAAGCTTTGTCCCCGGCCTGGATCCCCGGGGCAGTGCTGCCAGAATTCTCCCTTGACCTGTGATCAGGCAAGCTCAAGGGAGGTGTGAGAAGTGTTTTCCCGTTCCCTTTGAATCCCACCTTGATTCTAGCCCGAGGCCAACTTAAGATGCCAGGGGCAGATGCTAAAAATACTCTTGTTTAAAGGTCCACTGGCAAAACAAACATCCCCAGAACAGTGATCCACCCAGTGGCCTGCCCTTCAGCTGCAGCAGATTCATAGAGACAAAGCTATTTTTGGAGATACAAGCCAGAAAACTGCCCCCTTCCCACCCAAACAGGATACTCACGTGATTGTATTCCTCTATACGATACAGCTGATCAGGTGTACACCTCTCCAAAACAGGTTCAAGAACAGAATATGGGACGCCTCCTACTTCAAAGATTGCTGCAGAGAATCAAAGGTGAAAGCACTGAGTAGCAGCCAAGCCACCCAGTGATACATTCCCAGTGCCACAATGTGCTTGAGAGCAAGAGAAAAGCATGTGACTTACAGTCGATGTTGTTTTTAAGTACCCGGATGCACTGCTGGTGCAAGGTCATCATTTTGGGGAGATAGGCACACTTGGAACCAGAATACACCTGCATCTTAGAATTCATTCTCCGTCCAGTGAATCCAGCTTCTTCCTCTTCCTGGGAGGAAGGCTGTGCTATAGCGCAAGGAAAATAGGGAAGTAAATTGCAAGGAAAACGGGGATGTAAGTTACAAAAAGCTCTAGGCGATACAGTAAAAACTCCTTCCCATCTCAATCCTCAGTCTCAGAAGCAACCAATATTATCAGTTTCTTGTGTATCTTTCCAAAGAGTCTATGCAAAAGCAAGCAAATATGAATTTTATTCCTTTTTAACCAATTAATAACATACTCAATAGTATCATCATTTTTCATTTTCCACATTTTAGAAATCATTCCATGTTAGTATATAGCCTTTCCACTTTTTTTAAAAATTGATTTTTAGAGAGGGAGGGAGAGAGAGAGACACAAATCTATGTGAGAGTGAAATGGTGATCAGCTGTCTCCTGCACACCCAACCAGGGATCGAACCTGCAACCTGGGCATGTGTCCTGACCAGGAATCAAATTGGCAACCTTTTGGGGCACAGGATGATGCCCAACCAACAGCCACCCAGGATGCCACTACGTGGATGAACCATGGTTTACCTGTTAGTTTTGCTGAGAAACACTTCTGTGGCTTTTAATTCTTTTGCTATTAAAACTAGACTTTTAGCCCAGCCAGGCGTGGCTCAGCAGTTGAGCGTCAACCTAGGATCCAGGCAATCGGGGTTCAATGCCCAGTCAAGGCACATGCCCGGGTTGTGGGCTCGATCCCGTCAGGGGCATGCAGGAGGCAGCTGATCAATGACTCATCATTGATGTTTCTCTCTCTCTCCCTCTCCTTTCCTCTCTCTGAAATCAATAAAGATATATTTAAAAATAAATAAAATAAAAAACTAGACTTTTAAAAAGCTCATGTAGAGCATACAGAATAAAAGGCTGCTAATAACAGCAGCAGCTAAGATTTACTGAACATTTACTATGGGAAAAACTGAGCGCTAAGAGCTGTATCAGCTTTTAATCTACTTAACAGCCCTATGTATGAGGCAGAAACCATTATCATTCCCATTTACAGAATATGAAGCTGAAGTCCAAGGGAATTAAGTTCCTAACAAAGTTCATGTAACTTGTAGAAGGCAGAGCTGGACTCAAGCCCAATGCATCAAACTCCAGAGCCTATGCAATTAGGAAACACACTGAAATCTGATGACAGACCATAAATGATTTTTAAAATTTTGCTTCCATTTAAAAAAACATATAGAAAATTACCTTTTCGCTTTGGTTGGAAGGAGGACACCAATTCAAGGGAAGGAAGCGGCCGGTAATTGGCCTGTATCATAGGTAATGGGAGGTCTGGCAACACTGGCAGTACATCGATGGGGACCTGCAGAGGAGAGACCAGTGACTGGAGAGCCCCTTCTTACAGGCACAGCTCCCTTCCTCCAGACCATCCCCAGCAGTGTAGACCAGGCAGAAAAGTGACGGAGATCCAGGCTGGAGGAGGGGCAGCAGTCATGTCTGACGACCTAAGTCAGGAAATACATACAGATGGGCCTAGCACACGGGACACCTCAGCAAACACTTTTCTTGGGTGTTCCCTAACCCTGGCAGCTAGAGGGGCCTGGAGGAAATTACTTCAAACTGAAATTCACCAGGCCACCTAAAAGCCAGGCAAGCAAAACAGCAGCAGGGCAGGTCCTGGGAGCTCCTCAAAGCCGGATGCTCTGAGTGGAAGCCACCTAGGGGCTAAAGGGGTTACCTTTCTCGGCCTGGCCACATCGGCTCCAGCCGGCAGAAGCTTCTCTGACTTGTTTTCATTCACCTTAGGCAATTTCTGAACTGAGTCCACGTTTTTACTAGTGCTTTTCGCGTCATTTTTTTTAAGTCCCTTTTCCCCAACAGTTGTGGCTGAGGTTTTCGTGACCTTTTTCTTTTTCTTCCGGGGCTGGTCGTAGCTGAGGTATGACTCAAAAGACATGGTGGGCTGCTCAAATTCATCGTCCATATCTGCCCCCTCCACTCGGGGGGACTTCTTGTCAGGATGAGCTTTTCCTTTCCCTTCCCGAGTCTTTAGGTTGTCAGCAGCCTTCTCTTTGGCCTTGGGCAGCATGTCTCCGGCACCCTTTCCTACATCTAAGCTGTGTAGACTTTGCCTGTTTTTGTCTGACTTGGTTTTCTCCAAGTCTTTGTGCTTTTGCTTTTTATGGTGGTTGTCTGACGCAATCTCCAAGGCGGGTAAAAACTTCCTGGAGCTGCCCCCTCTTTCCTTCTCTTTTTTGATACCACCAGAGGGCGGCTTCTCCTTTGTGCCATCCCCTGAGACGGGCCTCCGGTTTTCCTCTTTGGAGGTGGCCTTGTGGGATTTCTCTCTGTTCAAAGATGACTTCTCATCTCCCCTGGCGACCACTGGACGTTTATCTTTCTGGGAAGATCTGTGCTCCTTGTTCTGACTCACACCCCCTTTCCCCCGGGGTTCACCCAGGTGTCTTTCCTGGCTGACCCCCAGCCTGTCCTGAAAGGTGTCACTGTGGCCCTTTCCAGGCTTCTGGTGTAGAACAAAGGGCTCGTGGTCCTCATCTGGGGATCTGTAATGGTCCATGGACACCTGATGAGGACTGCTGGACGACGGAGGAGACTGAACATGGCCGTAATCGGAAGATTCATGGTCCGAAGAGTAATAAGTTGGTGAAACCCTGTGGCCCCTCTTTCGCTCGTCTCTCCTCTCCTGACTGAGAGACGCTTTGTGAGGTCTTTCGAGCTCTGCGGGTTTCCGGTGCTTTTTCTGTCTGTGATCAGGACTGTGTGGCCTGCTGCCGGAGGCTTTCCAGTTTGCTTGGCAGTCCCCCTCCAGCTCCTCCTGAAGAGCATCCCTGGGGCGCTTTCGGGAGTCGTTCTTCTCAAAGTCCTGTTCATCGGGCTCAGTGTTTCTGAATAAAAGAAGACACAGATAAAGCAGTTCTAAACCTCAGTGTTACCTTATCCACGGGACCTAACTCACAGAGTTAGAAACACGGTCTTGGGAAGGAGGTAAGTGTGTTCTGCTCGAAGGCACGACTAAGCTTTAAAACCAGGAACTCAAATGTTCAATAAATGGAAAATCATGAGTTTCACTAAACTTGAAGATCCCAGGACACAAAGAAGATCAAACATCTTGTGGACATGAAAACACTTAACACAGGGGCGTATTTGTTACATAAAAACAAAGGGGCTGTTATATATAAAAAGCCTTTTAAGAAAATATTAGGAAAAAACATACCAAAATGTTAATAATCCTTATCTTTGGATGGTAGATTTATAAGAAATTTTGATCCTTATTTCTATTTTTAAGTATTTTCTAATATTCTATAATGATCAGATTTAACCATGAAATTAAACCTACAGAGCAATGTTCTTACCGTTCCACAGGAACCAACTTCTTCCACTGGGCCACGAGGTCCCTGGCAAAGCTTCCGACATGCTCATGTTTTCTTAAACTGTTTACTGTTTTCCCAACCCCAGTCTCCTATACATTGGACAAAGGAATTGTTAGAGGGTTGTGGAAACAGGCTCACAATTTTCAAAGAAGTCAGACCTCCTGCTTTTCAACAAAGCAATAACTTCCTTCCTAAAAATACACCTTGTTAAGTATCAGTACAAAATTAGTTTGTTTCTATACCCTAAACCTCTAATGACACATAGTAGCAAATGCAGCATACCAGATCAGAAGAAGATACTGAATTAAAACACTTCTACAATAATAACCAGAGTGATTCTGGCAGGTGTCAGGCACTGAGCTAAGAGCTTTGCATTCATTCAGTATCTGAATCAATCCTTATGGTAACAACTCTGTGAAGCAGGAATCTACCACAATTTACAAAGAAAGAACAGGCTAAAGTCACAGAACTTGGATTTGAACCTGGGACTAGTTGATGCCAAAGCCAATGTTCTTTTAATTTTCAAAATTTTTTTAGATAAAATTCCCATAACATAAAATTCATCATTTTAACCATTTTAAAGTGTATAGTTCAGTGGTTTCCAGAACACTCACAATACTGTGCAACCATCACTACTGTCTAATTCCAGAACATTTCTCTCATCCTAAAATGAAACCCTGTTGTTACCAATCTACCCCCCACCCCCTGGCAACCACTAACCTACTTTCTGCCTGTGGTTTTTGCCTATTCTGGACATTTCATATAAATGGAATCATTCAATATATGGCCTTGTGTCTCGTTTCTTTCACTTCCAAAGCCCATGTTCTTTGTCTTACTGTGTATAATCTCTCTCAGTGGGAAGGGGATAGGATATATTTTTTCATAATATCTAAAGTTATACAGTTCTTACCGCAAGAATGTCTACTGTAATAGGCAAGGCGGAGAGTTTCTTCAAATATTTTAATAGCTATAGAGAAAATAAAATAAACATTAATTCCTATAAAATCATAATCATTCACTGGAACAAATAATAACATCTGATGGTTAAATACTCAGTCTAAGTATTATACATTAACAAGTACGGTATTATCCCGATTTTACAAGTGTGAAACAGGCTCAGGAAAGGTAAGCTACTTGCCCTAGGATGCAAGTAGGGTGAGATTCACTTAGGTCTGTGGCTTTAGATTCCCGGCTTTCAACCACTATGCTACACCAACAGGAAACGAGACTTAAAGAGAATCAAACCTGCAAACTCGAAGAAAAGTCATCAACTATCACTTTGGCCCAGTTTTGAGAGACTTTCTGTTAGGGAAATCACCCATGGGCCTGGCATGGAGGAAAAGGAACAGCGGCCTCTATAAGAAAAGGGCATCATGTGTCCAGGCACAGTCAGCAAGGGTGAACTGAACTGTGTTATGGATACAATGGGAAGCCAAGACCAATTTCAAGTTGCCAGAATCAGAGTTTTGCGGTTAATGAAAAACATAACAATGTCTGGGTATATTAGAAAAGTGATCTGGGTTTGGTCACATTTCCTTTCTGTAGTTCCTAAAACTAGGTCAAAATCAGGATAGCACTACTGTTAAAACAGAGTTCCAGAGTCAGCCAAGTCAGTAACCTCTGAGCCTCATTTACTTCATCTGCAAAATAGGAACTGGATCCTGTTTCTACTCACAAGCGAGAGGACTCACTGAGACAAACCACATGTAGTCCTTAGCCGTAGTGCCTAGAATCCTATAAAAGCTCAATAAATGTTTATTATTAATCATTTCATTAATCAAAGAACAGATCTTTAAATGCCTACCCTTGATCTTCAACCAGATATTCACCATCCAATTCCTACTTGCTCCATTTCCACCAAAAGTCGTGACTGGCCATGCCTTTCTCTAGAAAATGTGTACACCCGTGTAAATATACCACCATTCAAGAAGCTGCAAATTACAAGTAATTCAAAATAGAGAACTGTGACTGCCTTTACCCTGGCATGTTAGATGACAAGATCGGCCCTTTTTCCATGTGCAGCCCAGGGTATACTCGGTAGGTATGTCACAATGCTATAGGTGGAGCAGTAAGTACGTTTTCCTTGTCATTCTACTTCAACAGTTACTGAATCCGTCACTGGGCAGAGCAAGTGGATCACTAATGACATTGTTTGACTAGGAACAAATGAGAAGCCAAATGGCAGAACTAGAGAGTGTCACTTTCACAGCTGAATGAAAACTATCCTCCACTTCAGATTTGATCACCACCAACATCCAACTTAGGAGAAAGTTTATGTGTATTTCTTGCCATCCAAGTCATGGGTACAATGATTAATGCCAATTCTTCTTCTTAAAGGAAAATTTAGAATCATTGAAAAGGTTAAAATGGGTGTCTTCCTTAATGCCATCCCCTGGAAGGCATTTATATACCACCTACTGTGTGTTGGCTACCACGCTAAGTTCTTACTTGTGCTACCTCATTTCATCTTTATTAACCACCTCCATAAAGTGGGTATTACTCTCCCCATTTTATAGATATTGAAACTGAGCTCAGTGAGGTTAGGTAACTTGTCTAATGAGCTAGTAAGTCAAGTATACCTACCACAGCAGGTACTACAAAGCCAGGGAACCTACAAAATAACAACACTGTCTATAGATAATAGGAACAGAAAATAGGGCTGTGCCTCTTAGCATACCTCAAACAAAGCAAAAGGCTCCTCCTTATAGTATCATGTTGTTAGACAGTTTAGAGTCCACAGCGTAAAGGTCAGTCACCATGGGGACAGGATCGGCAGGACCTCTAGGAAGCCACTGCTAAGGCTGGGCCAGAAGTCACTGAGGGTGTGTTCCATCTCAAAGCCTAGCACTAACTGGAGGGGTAAATGCTACCTTTCTGGTTAGTAGGGGTGACTTAAATGCAGACAAAACTAAAACCATGGAGATTTTCAAAATGACCTGGTTCAACATAAGAGAAAATGGGCTTCAGAGCCCCTCTATTTTCATTGAGGTTCAAGAAAAAAAGCAATGACAAGGTAAAAGCACTCTGGGCATTCTCAGGTAGATGGAAACTTGTTACTAAACCAACAAACCATTTGCAGAGGTTGGGAGAACTAATAACAGGTCACTGAGAAATGTCAAACATCTGCACAATGCATGCTTAGGAATTTCAGTTGTCCTCTGCACACTCCTTCAACCCAAAGAGTAAAAGATGTCTGTAATGTTGACTCCCTCTTCTCCACTTGCCATCAAACTGTGTCCTGGGTAGTTGTCACATTCAAAATGTTACAACAGACAGGTAACTTTACCAGCCATGAAAACTCTTATAAAATAGTAGGAACCAAGTGACCCTGTCTCTGCCTGATACCTTTTCCCCAAGTAAACCTCGACCACAGATGTGTGTTTTTTTGTGTGTGTTTTTTTTTAAATATATCTTTATTGATTTCAGGGAGAGGGAGAGAGAAAGACAGAAACATCAATGATGAGAGAGTCATTGATCGAGCCCACAACCCGGGCATGCGCCCTGACCGGGAATCGAACCCCAATTGCCTGGATCCTAGGTCGATGCTCAACTGCTGAGCCACGCCCGGCCAGGCTAAACACCAATGTTTAATGCCAGAAAAATCTATGAACATAGGTGTGGAATCTACCCTTTGGCTAATAATGGTTTGAAATCAAGATTTAGTTGCAAATTCAGTACTGCTATATAATCATCTTGCAATTTCAAGAACAACCTGTGGGAGCTTGTTGGGTTAACAGAAGGTTGAGAAGGCCAGTGTGCCAGCTTGCAGTTTTCCCCCTGTAGTTGGCTCATTTCTGAAAGCCAACTAGTGTGCTCTTTGCAAAAATGATCTCCGAACGTATGTGCCCTGACCAGAAATCGAACCTGCCACCTTTTGGTGTGCGGGCCAGGGCTTTTCTCATCTTCTTAATGCTCCCTTCATAACACAAAGCCAGAAGTTCAGGGTGATGCCTATCTGGGAGGAGAAAGCCCAAATACTGTCGATAATCACTAATAGTTCAAACAGGATGAGAAGTCAAACCTTCTCCTAATTTGAAATTTCATGCACATCTACTACTAGAAAGGCTTCTTCAAAATTTAAATTCTAGTGCAAGAATTACAACAGATACTACATGGAGCATGGTTTTAACCTGATAGAAAGACCAAAATTGGGGTTAGGGGATGAGTTTACATAATATTGCTTTAAGGTTTTAAAGATCAGTCACAAACCTACAGTTGAGGAAAACAAACTAGTACTCAGAAATAATAAACATTTATTAGATGTCCAAAAAGGATTATAAAAAGAAACTTGTGCTCTGGCCAGTGGGGCTCAGTGTTTAGAGCACTGGCCCCTGCTTACCAAAGGGTTGTGGGTTCCATTCCCGGTCAAGGGCACGTACCTGGGTTGCAGGTTCAATCCACAAATTGATGTCTGTCTTTCTCACCTCAATGTTTTTCTCTCCCCCCCCTCCCCTCCCCTCTCTCTAAAAATCAATGGAAAAAATATCCTTGGGTGGGGATTAACAACAAAAAGAACCTCGTAAATTTGCCTGGCCACTAAGTACTGAAGCTGCAACAGAAAATATAACAAAATAATTGAAAGCATTTACGTTTTCACAGATTTAAAACTAAAATGGCTTCCTAAATAAGTGGATCTCTGAGCTAGGTAAGAATGCGAAGAGTTAAAAGGTGGCCTGATGGTGAGATGCTGTGTGCAGCCTTTACAGAGGGAGGAAAAACCTCACCTAGGAGGAGCTGGGGACAAGGTAGAGAGAAAGATGCCCTTCAAGAGAATCTGTGAAGGGTGGTGACTGATACCTGGGCACTTCCCACGAGCCTGGCACTTCTGCCTTTAGTTTAGTCTTAGGGAGAAGCAGGTGAGGAAACAGGCTCAGCAAAGAACGTCCCGACCGTCCATGTGAAAGGATTAGAACCCAAGGCTCACCACCACTTGATCGCCGCCGCCCCCCGATAGCTTCCTCAGCAGGCACTCGGGGGACTGTACCCCCAGCTAGAAGGCTGACAAAGTCAAACCGGGGTGTCTCCAGCCGTGTATTTCAATTTTTAAAAATTCTAACATCCCCTCTTCAAGACACGGACAAGATGGACAACAGAAAGTCGGGGAGGGAGAAGAATGCATTTAACTTGCGAAAACAGTTTAAAAAATAAACAAAACTAGCTGAGTACAATTAAAAATGGTTGCCCATCACTCGCTGCAAAGCGAGAAGCGGCAGCTCTTACCGTCTCTCAAGGCCAGGAGCAAATCTACCCGCAACTTCGAACCTTTCTTCCTCCAACCACAACCTGAGTTTCTGCGCTCCACAGAGACAGATGACGTGAGGTTCATTTTGCTTTGTTTTTAAAGGGATTTACCCCAAAAGTGAAAAGATCCGAGTTCCAATATCAAGCCGGGAAGCAATAAAAACGTCTCTCGGAGACGCAGGACCACAGCCGAGCCTAGGCTCCATCACGCGGACAGAGTCACCTCCTGCCCCCGAACAAACATCGAAACACGAAGGGACCGGGGACACTCCGCACGGAGGCCCGCAGCGGCCGCGCTAACTCCGGGCCGGCGCTCCCGACGGGAAACAGCTGGCGCGGGACACCG